GCACTTATCAAATGCAAGCTACCTTCAACCTAGACGCAATTTAGGCAGTAGATTGTTGTTTCATTCTACCGGAATACAACATTCAAAGCAATGCGACATTTTGTCACAGTAATACACTTTAAACTGTAATTCAAGTGCCGTTATAATCGTCGATACAAGCAGAAACATTCCATGTTATGCACCCTGCGGTCCCAGCTGATGACAAAAATTTCCTCCCCTGAAATACATGACCATTACATATAGTGAAAAGAATTAACATCATGCATGCATACTCCCACACCATCTGCATCGCAGTAAAACCCACTTGTAACTCGGGGTTTTCATTTTTCCAGCTTCACGAATGCTTAGCTCAGGTAGTGACAGAAAATCTCCACATAAAAAGATGGCTGTTTAAAATGGACAACGAATTTGGAGGCCGTGGGACAGGTACGTATATATGCTGAACTGAGTTTCATTCTTAGAATAATTTTTGGTTTAAATTTGGTTTCATTCTGAAGTAACACTGGACCAATAAGACGAGGCCCTTAGTGGACCTCTTGCGTGAACTACAGTTCAGAACTAACAGAGCTATTTAGTACAACTAAAGTCAGTTTAGTTTTCTATTATTTTCTAACAATTTTTAAGGCTCATTTCCACTCAAGAAAATTTTCCACGGACAGAAAATTTTCCGAAAATATCATTGTTAAAATACTTTTCTGTCTGTGGCGTTATGTACTCGGTTCCAAAATATCACCGACTTGACCTCGTAGCTCATTTGGTAGAGCATTGGACTAGTATCCCAAAGGTCGTGGGTTCGATTCCCACCGTGATCAGGCAAACTTTTCAGCTTGCCCGGTGTGGATGCACACTCAGAGTAACACCACAAACATCATTGTTAAAAGTTAAAAATTTTCAACTTCAACATTTATTCCCGACGAAAATTTGTGTAGGCCAATGACATTTTACCAAAAATTTTTTCTGCGGAAAATTTTCCTAAGTGGCAATGGGCCAGTTCCAACCATCTTGTCTTCTTTATTTCAGCATACTGCGACGTAACGCCATATCTGAGTTGTTATGCAGCAGCATGGAAAGAATGCCAGAGATACGGAGAGAAATGGTCTAAGAAATGGGCTCATGAACCAATGCTCATTAAGATTGCTGCGGAAATTCCCACGATACTTGCCCAACATGGTTCACCTGTGTCTAAAGAAGGTTACACCACGTGGGAAAAGTTTCTAGAAGTCTTTCTACAACGAGGTATGAATAAAAGCCTTCCGTTTGGTCATGCCGATTGCGGCTATATTAAAGTGGTCTGTGTATTAATACAGTGTAAATACATTTTTAACTCAGTTCAACCGAGTGAAATGCCCAAAATAATCCCGATATTGACCCATAACCTATACATGGCAGTACCCTAGTATATACATGAACTTGAGGTCAGAGCTCGACAACTGGCCTCTGTAGTTCAGTTGGTTAGAGCACTGCACGGGAATTGCAGGGCCGCAGGTTCTATTCCTGCCAGAGGGCCTATTTAGGCTTAAATAAATGTATAAATTTACACACCTATACAGGTTTGCACCATGTCGCCTATACTTGGTTTAGAGTCAAAGCTCAGAAACTCTCAGCCAAGAAGAACAATGTAGTTACAGTTTGTGGCCTTGGGAAATATCTTGGGTCGTCTCGGTACAGTTTTACAGTAGCTTATTTATTGTCATATTACCATTATAACCTGTGTTTTATTGGTCTCACTACAGGCGGTATTATCGAGGCGTGTCCACCCAGTGACAGTGTGATAGCCATTACAGTAGATATGTTGATTGAACCTGATGGAAATTTGTCTGTTTTAAGTACAAGTGATCAGGTTTGTCTTCTTGTTTATAATCTGCATGAATATTAGTTTTGCTATATATTCTCGCTTCTCTTCACGTCTTCATTTCTACGTTTTTCTCGTAGTGATGCATTTGTTATCATACAGTACGTAGAATGTTGTAGCACTGTGATTGATGTTATTTTTTTCACCGGTGTTCAGCTGCTGCAGTATCCAGTTTAATTTGTGATTATATTTTTACCTCAGTCACATGTGAGAACGGTGCCTACAGTTTGCCTTTCCAGGGATTCCAGTTTCTTCCTTTAGTAACACTGTACCAGTAAGATAAAACCCTTCGTGTGCCTTTTGGTAGAACAGTTCACAAATGATAGAGCTATTCAGTAAAAATAGTTAGTTTAGTTTAGGTTTCCTCCTTTAGCAATACTGGATCAATGGAGAACAGTTTCGAATTGATAGAGCTATATCTAGCATAAATAAAGTTAGTTTAGTTTAGTTTAGGTTTCCTCCTATAGTAACACTGGATCAATAACACATGACAGACTTTACTATCCCCCTTATTCATATTTTCTTCTCCAGATCCATGCTACATCCGCGTACCAGTGTTGGGGTAACTCAGTACCACAGGCGTCAGTAGATCCCAGTCTTCTTGTGGAGAAAGCGATCGCCATAGCCATTGCATGTCGACAACGCGATATCATTGGTTATATCTCCATAGATTTTGTTACTTTTATCGATCCGGAAACGGTTAGTTGGAAAATGGTTTTGTCTATATTTACTGAGGGCATAAAGTAATTATATTAGGGTCCGGTTATTTATGGCGTGGTGTGGCACCGACAGAAAAGAGTTAGGTAAACAAAATTTTGAGTGAATAAAAGGTTGGATAAATGAAAAACAAAAGGGTTGGCTAATAAAAATTTATTGTAATTTCCAAAGCATGGCTCACTCAAATATTGAAGAATGTCAATACAATATGTCAATACAATATGTGAATCAACCAGAGTCACTATCTTGATCATTTTCCGATTTGTCAGATCGAGGCAAATGGTGTCTCCAAAGAAACTTTTGACTGCAGAAAATTGCACAAGCAGTTATCAAACTTATGTCACAGAAGTGGTAAAGGACATGTGTGACAACTGAACGGTATCCTTTTGTAAAGTTTTTGGCCAGGGGTGGATATTTATTTTTTAATTGATATTTGAGGTTGGGTAAAATTTTTTGGACTTTTTAATGGTTGGATCAGCAAAAGTTTCGCCAAGAAAAACATTTCTCTTCGGTGCCGTCCCC